GCTTCGAAAGGCTCGTGATGAAATAGGCCTCGTGAAAGACGAGGCAGAAGAATTGAAGATAGAGCTCGAGAAGCTAAAGAAATCCCTTGAGATCAGGGTGGCTGAAGCTCGGGATGAAGCTGTTGAGGAATTCCAGAAGTCCGAGGATTTCAACAAGCTGAAAGGCGACTATGCAATGGGCTCATATTTCCATGGCCTTAAGGAGGCTCGAGCATTTCTTCGGTCGAAGCTTGATGCTAAGCCCGAGGAGCTGAAGGAAATCCCGAAGATTGCTGGAGACCTTGAGCTTTCGGAGTCAGAAGAGGGCACCCTCGACGATGAAGGGGTCGACCTTGATGATAACCTCGAGGATGGTCAGGAGAGCCCCGGGGTCTAAATGTAGTTTGTTTTTACTCGAGCAACATTTGTAACGTTTTGTCGCCAGCTAAATCTGGCATTTTTTTTTTGTTTGTAATCACTTTTTATCGAGCACTATTAAATACAATCTGCATGTTCGATATTATTTGGCCTAAGCTTTTACTTGAGTTGATCTTTACTGCTTTTCGATATATTATGCTCGATGATCTTATAATGACGATTTTATATTATTTATGATCGACGATTCAAATATTAGATGTTTTATGCCTTCTATTATTGACGATCATGATTTACGAACATCTATGGCGACGATATAAATAGATTACGCCTTATACTGACGACTATGCCTTCCGAATATTATATCGATGGCATGCAATTAATCTCGACGATAAATTTTGAGGAAACTCAATGTAATCCTCGTGTTCTTCCAATTGTTACTGTATCAAGGATCATTCACCTTGCCTCAATGCAATGCTTTTACTTGTCGAGGGCAAGGCTTAAATTGCTTGTCGAGGACAAGGCTTGGAGTGCCTGCTCGAAGGCAAGACTTATATTGCTTGTCGAGGACAAGGCTTGGAGTGCTTGCTCGAGGGCAGGGCTTAGAGTGCTTGCTCGAGGGCAAGGCTTTTATTGCTTGCTCGAGGGCAAGGCTTACATTGCTTGTCTAGGACAAGGCTTAAATTGCTTGTCGAGGACAAGACTTGGAGTGCCTGCTCGAGGGCAAGACTTATACTGCCTGTCGAGGACAAGGCTTGGAGTGCTTGCTCGAGGGCAGGGCTTAGAGTGCTTGCTCGAGGGCAAGGCTTTTATTGCTTGCTCGAGGGCAAGCTTCGAATGCTTGTCGAGGACAAGGCTTAAATTGCTTGCTCGAGGGCAATGCTTGGAATGCTTGTCGAGGACAAGGCTTTGAGTGCTTGCTCGAGGGCAAGGCTTTTATTGCTTGTTCGAGGGAAAGGCTTGGAATGCTTGTCTAGGACAAGGCTTAGAGTGCTTGCTCGAGAGCAAGGCTTTTATTGCTTGCTCGAGGGCAAGGCTTGGAATGCTTGTCCAGGACAAGGCTTAGAGTGCTTGCTCGAGGGCAAGGCTTAGGTAATTCTTGGATGCAAAATTAACGACGGGGTTGCTATACCCGAGGCTTGAATTTTTTAATTCTTCGGACTGGACTTGGATTTATATTGTATCCAAACTGCCTACGTACCCAAACGGGAACAAGCCGAACGTAGTTCATTACAAAAGAGAATTGAAAACATGCATGGGCACACAGGTCCGCCAAACTAGAAATAAAATGCAAGGGCACGCAGGCCCGAAGAACTAAAAAAGAAAATCTCCGATATGATGTCGGGAATGTTACTTGTAATATATTTTCAGATTATCGGCATTCCAATGCCTTGGAAGAGGTCTACCCGAGGTATCCTTTAGGCTGTAAGACCCTCTTCTGATTTGCCGTATGACTTCGAATGGTCCTTCCCAAATTGGCCCGAGCTTTCCGGGAGCATGACCAGCAGCTTCGGCCTTCCTCAGCACGAGGTCTCCAGCCCTGAACCTCCGAGATCTGACCCGGTTATTAAAATGCCTTGCCACTCTGCTTTGGTAAGAGGCTACTCTTAGTGCTGCTTGTTCGCGAACCTCCTGGAGGAGGTCCAAATGTTCTGTCGTACGTTCCAGAGAGTCGGGCATCATTCTCCTTAGGCTGGGAAGACTGATTTCAACTGGGATGGTGGCCTCAATGCTAAATGCTAGCATGAAGGGGGTTTCACCCATCGTAGTTTTATGCGAAGTTCTGTATGTCTAGAGTATTGAGGGGAGCTCGTCGGACCAAGAGCCTTTGGCATCCCCGAGTCTTATCCGGAGGTCTTGCAAAATAATTCGATTTGTGACCTCGGCTATACCATTGCTCTGAGGGTGCGAAATTGATGTGAGTCGATGGTCAATCCCTAGGTTGGTGCAAAAACTTCTGAATTGTGCATTGTCAAATTGTCGTCCATTATCAGTTATGAGGACCTTTGGTATCCCGAACCGACAAATAATAGATTTCCATACAAAAGCTCTAAGTTTAGGCTCCGAAATTATTGCCAAAGATTCTGCTTCTGCCCACTTCGTGAAGTATTCTACTGCCACTGCCACGAATTTTAATTGTCCTCTTGCCACAGGAAAAGGCCCGAGGATATCAATTCCCCACTGCTCAAAAGGGGCCGAACATGTTAGGGTTGTGAGGTCCTCAGCTGGAGAATGGATGACGTTGGCAAACCTCTGGCATTTGTCGCATTTTCTGACATATTCCGAGGCATCTTTCTTCATGGTGGGCCAGTAGTACCCATACCTTATAAGCTTGAAGGCCAAGGCCCGAGCTCCTTGGTGATTCCCACATACACCTTCATGAAATTCAGCTAGAGCTCGGGATGATTCTGAGGGTTTAAGGCATCTGAGATATGGAAGTGTGGAACTTCTTCGGAATAGTACTCCTCCAATCATGCAGTACCTAGATGCCCGAGATCTTATACTCCTCGACAATCTGGGGTCCTCAGGTATATTTCCATTATTTATGAACTCTGCAATTGGGTCCATCCATGACGGCTCATGATCAATGTCCATGACTCCAACTCCCTGAGTGATACTAGGCTCCATTACCAATTTTGCGTGGACTGTCCTCTCTAGCCCATCGATTCCCATGAATACCAGTCTAGATAATGCATCAGCTTTACCGTTATCAGCCCGCGAAATTTTTATGATTTCGCAACTCTTGAATTGTCGCTGGAGATCATGGACTTTTAGACAATACAAACTCATCTTTTCCTCCTTCCTTTCAAATGTACCTTCTATCTGGACGACCACAAGCTGAGAATCGCTGAAAATTTTAACATGCTCGAGCTCAAGATTTCGGGCGAGCTTAAGGGCGATAATGACAGCCTCATATTCGGCCTCGTTGTTGGTAGCTTCAAACTCAAACCTGAGTGCGCATTGAATATCCACGATTTTGTCAGGGCTCGTGATGATAACCCCGGCTCCGAAACCCGACGAGTTGGATGCTCCATCAACAAAGATGTTCCAAGTGTCTGAAATATGATTGTCCGAGTTATCCCCTGGCCCCCGAGGCCTTGGGGTGAGTTCTGCAATAAGGTCAGCCAAGGCCTGCGCCTTGATAGATGGTCGGGATTTATACTCGATGTCAAATTCTCCCAGTTCAATTGCCCACTTTAGTAACCTACCGAAAACGTCGGGTTTTTGTAATATATGCTTAAGGGGTTGATTAGTGAGCACAACTATGGGGTGAGACTGAAAATATTGTCTGAGCTTCTGTGCTGCCACAACCAATGCAAGAGCAAGCTGTTCTGCCAAAGTATATCTTGTCTCTGCATCGAGCAAGACCTTACTAACGTAGTATATGGGTTGCTGGGCTTTGTTAACTTTTTTCACTAGCACGCCACTTACTGCATTCTGGGATACGGCCAAGTATAAATATAGAGTATCACCATGCTTGGGTTTAGTGAGGATAGAAGGAGATGCTAGCGTTTCCTTAAGTTCGTGAAAAGCCCTTTCACATTCCTCATCCATTCAAAATTTCGGTTTCCCCTAAGGACTTTGAAGAAGGGGAAGCATTTGTCGGCTGCTCGGGACATAAACCTGTTGAGGGCTGCAGCACGGCCTGTTAATTTCTGGACCTCCTTTTTGGTTTTAGGTGGCTCCATTGATGCCAACGCCCGTATTTTGTCTGGGTTGGCTTCGATTCCCCTGTGAGTGATCATGAAACCCAAGAACTTTCCCGAGGCAACGCCAAATGCGCATTTTTCTGGGTTCAGCTTCATTCTGTACCTACGCAGCGTGGCGAACACCCCCTTGAGATCACTTACATGGTTGCCCACATGCTTGCTCTTTACAACCATGTTATCGACATAGGCCTCAATATTTTTCCCGATCATTCCTGCAAAAACTTTATTGACAAGTCTTTGATATGTTACTTCTGCATTCTTCAAACCAAACGGCATGACCTTATAGCAGTATATGGCAGAATCGGCCGTGAATGGCGTCTTCTCTTGATCTTCCTCGGCCATAAGAATTTGATGGTAACCCGAGAATGCATCCAAAAAGCTGTATAATTTGTGTCCCGACGTACTATCCACCAAATCGTCGATTTGAGGTAGGGGGTAGCTGTCTTTTAGGCATGCTTTATTGAGGTCTGTAAAATCAATGCAGACTCTCCATTTACCACAAGCCTTTTTTACCAGGACGACATTGGCAAGCCAGTCAGGATAATTGACCTCGCGGATGAACTGAGCCTTGATCAGTTTATTAATTTCTTCCTTTATGACCTATCGTCATTCCGGTGCAAACTGCCTCTTTCTTTGCTTAACTGGATGAGTTCCGGGCTTAGTGTTGAGCCTGTGTACTACAACCTCGGGGTCGATGCTAGGCATATCTTCCACCTTCCATGTGAAGACATCAATGTTGCGGGATAAGCAGTCAATAAGTTCGGTCATGAGGGCCGTATTCAGATCTCGACCAACCGTGACTTTCTTCCCTTGCTCGAGCTCTATCTCCAACAACTCCTCCACTGGAGCGAGTCTCCCGTTATTCTCGAACTCTTCCTCCTTTTCTGAGATTTGCATGATGTTTGTCTTTATTTCCCGAACACAAGTAACATAGCATTATCTGACAGCAGCTTGGTTTCCGCGTACCACCCCGACGCCATGACTGGTGGGGAACTTCATGGCGAGGTGGAAGGTGGACACAATAGCTTTTACCTTATTGAGCAATGGTCTACCCAGGATGGCGTTGTATGCCATGGAAGACCGGACAATCTGAAAAGATGTAATCACCGTTATCTGTTCTTTTCCCGAGCCTAAGGTAAGTGGAAGCTTGACCACTCCCTCTGGAACAATAATATCCCCCCTGAATCCTTGAAGGGGGGTTTTCACTGTCTTCAGTTGTTCGGGAGAGATTCCCATTTTTGTGAAGGCTTCATGTGACAATATGTTAGCAACACTTCCGTTGTCGATTAAGATCCTCTTTACCTCAAAGTTTGCTACTATTGCAAAGATGACTAGGGCGTCATCATGAGGAAAAGACACGCCCTCAAGATCCTTCATACCAAATGTTATGTCCTCGAGGTCACCATGATGTGCTTTCGGGGTTGTCATGTATTGCCGGGCATACTGCTTCCTCCCAGTGTTTGAATCTCCTCCTGATGCAATACCCCCGACAATGATGTTAATGATTCCAGCAGTGGGTTGACCATCCCGTTTTGCTTCAAAGGCTCTGTCCCTACCACCATCATTCTTCGGGCGTTTGTCATTACCAACGTAGGAACCCAGAAGTCCCCTTTTAATAAGGGCTTCAATTTCCCGTTGCAGGGCTTTACAGTTTTTAGTGGTATGCCCATGATCCCGATGAAACTCACAGTATTTGCTCATGTCCCTGGACTGGGGGGGTGACCTCATTCTCGCAGGCCATTTGAGCTCCTTCATATCCTTGATTTCCATCAAAATGTTTGTTTTCGATGTGTTTAAACGTGTGAATGACGTCGGGGGAACCTCTTGTCTCTGTTTACTCCGAGGTGGTTCTTGACGGGGGCTCGGGTCATGCTGTCTTTTATGCTCAACCCTGTCGTGGGATGGTCCAACCTTCCTCGGGTTCAGCATTTCCTCCATATTTATGTACTTCTCTCCTCGGGTAAGAAGCTCGGTCACTGTCCTTGGCAGAGTTTTGGATAGCGACATTTTGAAAGCTTCACACCTTATGGCATATGTGAGGGCAAAAACCGCCGTCGTTATATGAAGGTCGGGAATTTGTAGCCTTTCCTTGTTGAACCTGATCATGAACTCGCGTAGGGTCTCATTTTGCCCCTGTCGAAGTTGCATGAGGGAGGCTGCCGTTTTCCTGATGCGTTTACTGCTTGCGAAGAAGGCGGAGAACTTGTCCGCCAAATCTCAGAATGAGGCTATGGAGTTGGGCTCTAAGGTTGAGAACCAATCCCTAGCAGCATTCGTCAAAGTTTGCGAGAAGGCCTTGCACATCACCTGAGCTAGTGCAACCTGTAGATTCATGACGTCCGTGTATACGTTAAGATGATTGATTGGATCAGTGGTCCCGTCATATTCTTTGATCCTAGGATACTTAAATTTGTCTGGCAAGGGGAATGTCAATATCTCGGGAGTAAAGGGAGTGTTGGGACTGAATCTTGTCGTCCCTTTGTTGCCCTGAAGTAGGCCCGCCGTAATTCCTTCTTGAATAATCCTAGCGAGTTCCCCGGACTCCATGGTCACTGATCTCGAGGCCGAGGTCACATGTGGTATACCCGAGGCCCCTGCTCCGCCATTGTCAGGGACATGTCTTTGAGCTCGAGCTCGAGCATCAGCCATAAAACCCCCTGGGGTGCTGGTGTGGACGACGGATGTGAGTTTCTTTGACTTAGCAGCTGAGTCAGTGTGGCGACCTGTTGTCTGAGCTCTTCAAATGCTCCAGCAGTGACGACTGCCGGCTGAGGCTCTGGCACTTCTGATGATTCCTCTTAAGGAACAGGGATATCCTCAGGAGGGGGTTGGTTTGGAGCGGATGAGCTTGCTGGTGGAAGACCTGAACGTGTGTTTACCATGGCTTTTGGTAGCGTTTCCCACAGACGGCGCCAATAATGCTACCAAAAATCGTACCTGAGCAATTTCGAGCTTGACGACTGGTGACGAGCACGAACGTGTTCTTCCGGTACCTGAAACAAAGGCGTCGAGGTGTGTCCTCGTCGTCCCTCCGATGCTTAAGTTAGAATATGTGTGTGAGGCTATGGACTGAAAATTGTATAAAAAAAGTACCTGAATGATGAGGTGAAACCATGTATTTATAGTGTTAGGTGGTTGAATCCTATTAGGTTTGTTCAATTGGGGAATCTTCATCCCGTAGAATCCTGTCGGAGGTGGATGTTTGACATGCATAACAAGTGTGGGATCAGTACAAGTCTAACAACAATAGACTCCTCTTACATCTAGAAGTCTTGTGGGGTACCAAGTGTTACACGTCACTGTTCGTAGGAGGACGTGGTATCGTTGAGGTAAAAAAGCATGAGGACATGAATACCGAGGACTCCACTTCCCGACCTCATGGTATAATTAGGAGAGAGGTCGAGGATATATTATATGTCCTCGGGAATACGATGAATATATTTTTGCCCACTGGGTTCGGGAAGTCATCGGGAATAAGAGGTCGAGGTAAATAGATGGACCATATCAGACTTGATTGATCGATTTGAAGTAACAAGATGAGGGCTTTATAGTGGAGTCTTCGGAGGAATTTCGTTCACAGGAGATACGGAAATTGCACTGGTAATCAGATTACTATCGTTCTAATCATAAGAGTTAAATCGTTCTAATCATAAGAGTTAAGGTTCGAAGAAGGAAATTGGCGCTGCTTACCAGATGGCAAATGGAGGGCTTCTTGGTGTATGGCGCAGTCCACTTCGATTACTTTCTAATTACTGCAGCTCCATTGCCACCACCTATGTCTACGACCTCCACCCATATTACCTACGCAATCATCACCGTAAATTGTTACCTCTATGGCTACATTAGATGTTTCAACGATTGGTCTAATTGTTATCGCACCATACTCGTCGTTGAACGGTGTAGATCAATTGTCTGGAGCAAGGGGAGGGTGTGTGTGTGTAGAAGGGGGGAGGTTTGTGGTGTGCGTGAGTTAAAAATAAATAATTAACCCCTGATTTATGAAAAGAAAACGTTGAAATTTGATATTTGAAATTTTTGCTTAAAATGTAGGTTTTCGGGTAATTTTCCCTTTTGTTAATGTGAAATGTTGTGTACTATTGTTATTGGAATCTAATATCTTATAACTACTTCACGATGCATTGATATCCTGAACATAATCCCTTGCTTTTCTTAATTTTTTGGACAAGATTGGGACTATGTGATACACCTTGGTAACTCAATTTTGTTTCAGTTATCAAGAAGCACTGGTGAGGACGATAATGGAATGATGACTTTGTTTCATGCACAAAGAAATTCTGTCATTGGCTTGCTCCCTTCATATTTCAAGTCGTTTGATACCCAAAAGTAATTTTCGATAGCGTCAATTAGCTTGTCAATCGGGAGGTCAAATGAATTTGAATTCCATTTTGGAGTAAGCAATTTTCAATCCTTCGACCAATTGGTTAATAACTAACTATTTTGAACTTTGTCATGCAATATATACAATCAAATGGTTATCGATTAGATTCCAACAGCCAAATTTTCCTTGATTTATACTGAACTTTTTAGTGAAGGAACTGATTCATCCACCGTAGCACGTAGGCTCCACCCTTGCCTCTCTTCTCGAGTCAATTGTCTTATATGGACATTTATATTTTTCATCGTACCCTACGTTATTTTGGACATTAAGTTGAAATACCATGTATGTTCATGTCTGAATGACCTGCTTGGTAATCTTCCAACTTACATCATGTGTTCTCTGTCGTTCAAGTTACCGAATTCAATGTATTAATAAAAAGAAAGGCATTATTAATTTTATTAATTAGTGAATAATTTAGTTTAAGAAAGTGGACCGACCGACCCATTATCAATGTGGTCGCTCGTATTTTTATAAAAAAGTACGACAACATTTTACAAATAATGTTACCAAAAAAAAAAAAAAAAAACTTCAAGTCATTTGACTATTTGAGCCAACAATTTGCCCCCAACACGGGTCACCTCTTACTCTTACAAGTAATGCCAATAATTTTAAGTGTAAATAATGTCAAAGGTAACTTTCTTTTCTAAAATTGTAAGTTTAACTACCTGCATTAGTTGGTGTAGATTTAAATAAATTTTAATAAAAATTATGAAACGCATGATTGAGAATTTTATGAATCCCATAAAATGTAGTTAAAATTAATTGAAATTTTTATGAATTTTTAGTCTACACCAATATTTATGAACTTATTTTGTCATATATAACGAATATTTTAATTATCTAATTGGGATTTAAAAAAAAAAAAAAAACAACCATTCTATTTGTATAACTAATTTAACAATGTGTAAGTTGATAGGGATCTAACCACCTATTTGAAAAATTGTTATTCCTATCAATAGTCATGATTTTACACCTCACATATTGTCAAATTAGTTGACAGGATCCTGACCATTTTTATTTGAAAATTGTTTTTCAAATCAATGAGAATTGATTTTTCGATCGTTAGGAGAAAAGTGGGATCCTCTTATGAGAGAAAAAAGTCAAATTTGACGACTGAAATAGTGAAATAACGATAAAAAAATTAATTTTTGACGGAAAAAATTACTTTCAAACAAACAAGCTCTTAATATCATTGCTCCTCACAAAATTGTTAAACTAGTTGTACAATGTTTAATCCAAAAAAAATAAGAAAAAAATTGAGAAACGGGCACACGTGGATAGATCTAGAAAGAGAAATAGAAAAGATATCAGCCGTTGGATGTTCCTCGTCTTTCACACCAGACAGCGGACACAGAAATTAATATAAGGTGACAGAGAGGACAGACAGTCACGTGCACTTCAATTGTATACTTCCAAATAGGAATGTCTCTGCCCCTCTCCTCTCCCGTCTGCTCTTTTTCTCTGTCCACACTTCTCCAACGTGTCCTTTCTCACCCCCATTTTCAATTTTTTTGCCTTCTCATGGTGTGTGTGACACATAAATGGCCTTGTTTTGTTTGATTAAAAACCATACATTTTAACACAAGTTTATAAAATATATAATTAAAAATTTAATAAAAAGCGTGATTCTTTTAAATATCTAGTTTAAAATAAATTTTAAAAAAATTAAAGCCAAACAAGGGCATAGAGAGATGAGTAGTGATGCTGAACAGTTATAATAGAAAATCATAAATTAATTAAAAAATAAAATAAAATAAGGATTTACGAAAATGCGTATAACTTTCAGTTCGAGTGTCGGATTTTTATCTTTGAGTACAATTCGAAAGCGTTAATCAATTCTACACATTTTTTCTAGGTGGCAATGTTGCTTTTGGAGTCGAATTTCAACGTTTATGAGCCCATTTTATATTTTTAGTTAGTATAAGGGTATTTTCATCATTTTCGTACTTTTTTTTAGTTTTAATTAGATTTGTTTTGCAATTTCCTAGTTTAGCTGGATTTAACTACCAAATTAGAATTTTGTTTTGATTAGAATTTATTTCCAGTCTTTAAATATGTGTTTAGGAGCTTGTAAATTGCACATTCGTTTTTTTCTTAATAAGATATTTCATTTTTTTTCATTATTTGGTAGATTCCAAATAGCTATCACCTCCGTTTGAGCGAAATTCGAGTAACCATTCGTTCGTACATTATGAACAATATCCTTTTATTATTGTTCACGTTTTTTGTTCTGCATCCAGTAGAATTTCATCATTTGGTCTTCAAACCCTTTTTTACAAGGAATCAATAGTTGCAGCGAGTTGTTACATATGCCCCAAGTAGGGAAGTTGATGGAAGGAACTCTCTATCGACACTAAAACAGTCCTATGCCCCATTACCCTCATGGTAAGTGTGCATGATGCCAACGTACATATTGCTTGATTGATTCAAGTGAGGCATCACCAACCTAAATATTATATTATAGTTGCACAATTAATCTTTGTTGATGGAAAACGGTTGAAGTCATTCCGAAATTAATAGAGATCCTTTCTCATGTTCATCTTAGTTTTGCTTATCACCTTTGACTGATAAATAAAAATTTGAAATGAGATGTGTTTTTTATATCACATAAGAGTTTAAGAAATACTTGGAAAGAATTTGATGATTATCGAGTGTACAACAAAAATGAAAATTAAGGACTAATTTGCTCACTTAAACGGGTTGGTGATCAACTTTAACTAGGACAATACAAATAGAACCAATGGTCCAAATTTACATTTTATAGATTTTTTAGGCCTTTAAGCTAACTAGTTAGAGTTGATCGTGCATTATACGTTACTTTGAAAATACTTTATAAGTATTGTAAAATTAATATTTGACACCAATTTGTTCGTGGCATCAAAGGCCCTTTTGGATGGTTTCCATCCAGTTTGCTTTAGTTGACCCAAAAAATTAAGAGATGATTATAGTAAAAATCCTAAACTTTTAAAACACTAGTAGACTTTTCCTAAACCTTTCAATCTTTGCAACGATCACTCGTAATATTTTCCAACCGTTGCATATGAGACCCTTTTGGACGGTTTCCATTTAAGAAGTCATCAGTTGACCACCAAAATTGAAATTGACCACCTATTTTATAATTTTAAAAGGATAAAATAGTAATCTTATAATCATCACGCCAAACAATTAAAATAATTACATTAAAAAAAATACAAAAGAGAAAAAAAAAACCTATCTCTTCCTTCCATTCCCCATGCCCAAACCTGCACCTAAAATCATAAAATTGGCCATGCCACCATCGGCCGCTGCCACTGGAATTCTACTACCGCCACCTGGCACCTAGCACCTTGCACGGTTGCACAACCACCACACTTAAACCGCCATCACCGCTGTATCGAAATCGAAAGAAGAGAATGCTAATATATACCCCACCATTCGCCTCTGTATCTATCACCACGCGTCGTCGACATCAAACGTGGAATGAAACAATTAATTTCAAATATATATAGATGGTCAATCGAGACAATGGCTAAAAAAATAAAACCTGGAACATAAAATATGTAGACAATAAAAAATATGATAAATTCCTTGTACATCAATGCGAAAAAAATCAAACCCGAAACATAAGCACACTAAAACCACAAAAAATGGATTGTTCAGATCAGTGGCATAAAATGTGGGGATTATTCTATGTATACACCGTAAGGTATACACAATAAATTACACCACCCTCACATGAAAGGGGCTCACGAATATTTTATTTTATGTCGATCCCCTCCATATAAGAGAGGTGTAGTGCTTTTGTATACACTATTGTGTACACATAGCATAATCCAAAATGTGGTGCAACTTTCGTGATTGAAGAGACAATTAGTACAAAGTACCTCTCCTTTTCACCGTACAAAGCCATATGTGTTTTCACAATTAATAATATGATATTGTGATTGTGATTTTTGGTATATGAGGTAGTGCTGCTGGCCGTGGTGGTGTTTGCGGTGATGGTGGCGTTTGTGGTGATGGTGGTTACTGCGGTGGCAAATCACCAGCGATTTTGTAATGTTTTACGGTAGTTTGTGGTGATTGGTGGTGACTTTTGCAGTAGTAGTTTTTTAGGTGGGTTTTTGATGGTGTTGTCGGTGTTTTGAGGTTGTATTGCGTTGTTGTGGTGTGTGGTAGTGATTTTGTGCTATTTGGCGATGGTGGTCATGGCGGGGGGGGGGGTGGTGGGGGGGGGGGGGGGGGGGGGGGGGGTGGTGGAGATGGGATGGAAGGAAAAAGAAGATACCGTTCCCCTCTTTTTTCGTTTTAACTTTTGTGATTTTTAGTGTAATAATTATTTTAATTGTTTGATGTGATGAATATAAGATTACTATTCTACTCATTTTGCAATTATAAAAAAGGTGGTCAATTTTGATTTTGGCAATCAACTGACGGCTTCGTGGATGGAAACCATTTAAAAGGACCTCATATGCAATAATTGAAAATGTTAGAGGTGACGACTGTAATGATTGAAAGGTTTGGAAAAAGTTTATTAGTCTTTCAAATATTTGGAGCTTTTGCTGCAATTATTCCTATAATATATTGAAAAATGAAAAGTAAGGTATTATTAAAATAATTGAATTATAATAAGGTCGAAATCGTCCAAAAAAATGATTCTCATTTGATGTAATATTTATAATAGAGTGATTATATCGCCACCACAATTTTTATTTAATACACCACATTTTATTTATAGTTAAGCTTCTCAATCTTTGCTGCTTATATCAATTATTTTCTTAACTTTTTTCGTCGACTTCTTATATTCAACTTCCATTGATTGATACGTCTCGTTTTTTATGATGATTTATAACAAAAATATTTTATTTTCATGCTTTGAAATAAGAAAACAATATTTTTTTCGCACTATTTATTTATTTATTTTTTAAAAATATGGCGAAAAATAAATTATTTTACGCCATTTCAACGAATTTTTGGATATAAAATTGTTATAAAGTACAAAATGTGAGATCTAATGAAAAGTTTGAAGATAAGAATGATATAAAAAATCGTTAAGGACATACTATTATAATGAGCAAAGATTAAAAATTTTAAGTACAATTAAAATATGGTACAAGAAATAAAATTTGTGGTGTGAATATAATGACCTTTAATTGTGTGGGAAGAATTTGTTTGTTGGGCCCACAACTCAGACCCTCGTGGATCCTATGTTTTATATTTGGCAAGGTCGGCATATTGCCAGCCCATTGATTGGAGTCTCAATGCAAATTGAACTAAATACCAAATTCGTTTTCAATTGAAAAAAAAGCAATTATAATTTGATATAAGCTGGCCAAACGAATACCCGGCACCCTTATCTCAGTATTCAGTGAAACTCCTCCTCTCTCGCCCTCTCTCTCTAACTTCCTTCTTCCCACAGATATCTTACAGATTTGTACTCGGTCATTTCGTCCTCATCAAGATCTTAAATACACTGACAATATGCAGCACAATTTCATGGAAGAAAGTATGAATCAAAACAGTATTGAGTTTAATTCTCACCAACAATACCATATACTTCAACAAATCCATACCCTACCCACTACCCAACAATTATTCCAAGGCCAGAATCATTTTCAGGCACATTTTCAACCCCAGCAAAGGAGGCTAAATGAGTCGTACTGTGAACCGGGTGAAGAAAATATCGGCAGCTATGTCGGAGGCGAAGATAGTGGTTCAGTACCCTTTTTCCCGGCGAGTTTGAAGTTGGATTTGAATCATGAGAGAGGCAGAAATAATAAAGAGAGAGCTGTTATAATTAATGAAAGAGAAGACGCTTTGCTGCGTGGGAGTGAGCAATATGATGTCCCCGAGACTCCACTGCCAATGCTTCATTGTTGGCAAAACCAAGACGATTCTGCCATCGGACAACGCTTCTGGTAATTTTTCTGCACTAAATCACGTGAATAGTATTGTTCATATATTACTCTTTCTAATGCAAATTTACGCCTCATCATTGTTTAAAGTTGCCCTTGGAAGTCTAGTCTTTTTCTTCATCTTGAATCAGTAGTTGGTACTGGGTTCACGTTGAGGAAGAGAAATCAAATGGAGGGCTTTCTTTATTAATTTCCTCGTTTCTCTTTTTAATGTTCTCTTCAGTAAGATTTGATTTTGAAGCTAATTAATGTTATAGGAAGCCATTAACTGCAGCAGTATTCAACGAGGAGAGTGAGATAGAGGATAAACAAGAACAACACCAAGAGAATCGGAGAGATCATTGTAAGTATTTTCAGCATGAACCTCAAATGAACTGTTTGGAGAGAGAATGTAGACTATATGGAGAGCTTGAAGCAATTTATAAAAGTATCGGCACTCCGGGGAGTAATCAAACTGGTTCTGGATCAGTTCATTTTCCTGTAAATACCCATCTGCCAGAGCCGGAGGCTTCTATCGGAGAAGAAGAATCCAAGAAAATGGCTAAAAGGAAAAGAAAAAGGAAGAAAGTGAAGGATCAACTGGATTCAATGGTGAATTTTCTTGAGAGTTTAGTTAATCAAATTATGGAACATCAAGAAAATCTTCACTTGAAGTTTACACAAGTAATTGAAAGATTGGATCAAGAGAGAAGAGAAAGAGAAGAGGCTTGGAGGAAGCAAGAACTGGCCAAGTTTGAGCGAGAAGCGGAGGCCAGAGCTCGTGAGAAAGCCATGGCAACAAGTAGAGAGGTAGCCATTGTTTCATACTTGGAGAAAATCACAGGTCAAAGAATCAATCTTCCTCCATTAAAGTTGCAACCAATAATTTCTCAGAATCCATTCCGCACGCAACTCAACTCTAGCAGTGGAAGTGATGTTAGAGGGGATGAACAGATGGCCTAAAACAAAACCCAAAATCTAGATTCAGAATCCTTTAATGCAGGGGTTAAAGGGGGATTGTTTTGGGAGGAGGAAAACAATTCAATGGGACCAAATATATGATTTGAAACGTAAGAAATTCAAAGCAAGTTGAGAAAGATAACTCTTTGGGATTCCATTGACACTTGGGAATATGGATTCTGATAAGTGGTTAATCTGTGAAGGATGTTGGAAAAGGAGGATGATTATGGATCAATAATGGTAATACAGCTGAAACGTGAAAACCGGCTCTTCTAAGAACTAGGGTTTATTTGCTGATCTTCTTGTTAACTTTCTTAGCACTGAGTTTTTGCCTTAATTATTTATTTTCAATTTTTTTGATGGATTGATTTCATAATTAATCTTTCTTAGAATTTGATTATAAATTTTTAGATAAGATGATTTAACGTTTTTATGAAATTGTATGCATTAGATATTCGGTCCTTACCAGATGGGAATCAAAATCAGATTTTTAGTAAATTTTGATTAAAGTTGATTAATGAGCTATTGAAAAGTTGTAAATCAATGGTTGAAATTAGTTGTTTACTTTGACTTAAAAATTAAAATTTTGATTCTAATCCCCATCAAATAGGGGCCGGATGAAAAAAGAATTTAGCTCTTACGTCATGAAAATATGTTACAAGTGTATATGCTAATTTGCAAGTAATAAAATGGGGCTCAAACAAGTAATCACATTTTCCAAAAAGCCTTTGCAGGATTATGAAGACTGCATATTCTACTTTAGGTGCATGCAGATTTCACAGGCAAATTATAATTAACGTTATTATTTGGTTCAAAATTTCCCCTAAGTTTAATGGTCAGAACATACAATTGTCGCCAAAGTAAATGTACCAATCTTCTCCACAGCCTTGCAAAAAGCTGCAAAATACCTGAGAGTTCACTATGCTTGTATGTATTGGGCAATATGAAGAAATGACACCAGCCATTAATGTCCCCACGCTGTGCATGTATGCTTCCCAATGCTTGGTCAGACGGTTGGGAAGGAGACAAAAAATTCCACTCTTCATTGCCTATTTTGGTGATAAGTTTAAGTTTTCATAATTTCACTGCAAATATGCGGGACTCTCTCAGTGCCTGTGGTCACAAAATTTCTAGTATAATTCCTGTATTTTATATTGTGCCCGTTCAATTCGGGTTGTACATCTTATTTTGACTGTTCGAGTGTTTTTGAAAATTAACTAAGATTGAATTTACATGGTAACGAACCAGACAAGTGCTACACACGTGGGCGAGTCAAATACACCAATCCTAGGAACAGTGTAGTAAACCGTAGTAGAGATAACTATTTGATGAAAAACATGTTGGAAAATTATATCGATATTGTGCATATCATATTCACAAAACGTGTCATTTATGTTCACGAAATCTAAACACAATTTCATCTTACCGAAATGGATTTGGGAAGATGAAACGACAGATTCAATCATTTCCTTTCTTTATTTCAAATCTACATGAAATCAAAAGAATGTTATTAATTTTCTGAAATCAAATACGAAGAAAGAAATAAGAAGGAATCAAGGTGATATGTGAGTGATGCGATTGGCTGAGGCAAGTGTTAGACACTTTGTCCTTAAGATAAATTTGCCCCGCATTGGTGCTAACGATTTTTCGACAATCATCTCACAAGATACAATGTCCATGTCAAGCCATAGGAGCACTTTAAATAACTTCGACCAACGAACTCGAATGGAGTTCCCTCTCTACCATAACCATGAATTTGATGCAAGTGTTTTATGCAAACTAAATTGTAAGTATGGAATGAAATGATATGGAACTATCTATTGACTTTCATGAATTTCTTGAATGATAAAATTCAAACACATAAGACTATATATAGTAGTTGGAAAGGTATGTTAAAAGACACAATCATACCAAGAGTCACATATCTTGGAATTCATAATTATTGGAAAATGATCATGTTAAAGGCCATGATCGTACATATGAAAATACATCTTTTCATCCAACTCTTTTCTAAAATATTTCACAATATTCTATACAATTTTCAACAATTTCAAGTATTAAGCGACTTACATTTGGCTTAATTTCTCATTCATCAAATTAAGAATTCTACTTAAATAATCGTGTAAAATTGGTCACAATCAATTTTCGATACAAAATTTCAACAATCCCCCATATGAATGAAAATTTCACATATGCAAATGATAATGCAGACACTAGTAGAAAGAGCGAAAAACACTGCATCAAGTAAGGTAGCTTCTGACTTTGAGCATTCTTTAGTAAAATACCATCGGATTTAATAGCTAATTGGTGAACGCGATGTTCTTGAACATTAGCCGTTTGTGTAAATCAAGACAACAGTACTCACACAATGTCTCCCCATATACCGTTCAGGGTTCTCACGACTTGGTTCATTTTGGCCCTGAACCCATCTTGGTTCTGTAAGTGTTTAGAGAATTCAAACCTTGAATAATTCTCATTGAAACGGCCCCACTTCACATTTACATAGGTGATCTCCTATTAAGAGTATTCTGCCCTATCCATTTGACTCAATCAAGATATAAGAATAATTAAAATTTTATCTTAACCTCCAACCACTCCGCAGAAAGCACTTTAGTATCATAGGAATGAGTTAAGAAATTAGTTTCCTAAGTGCTTCATGGATCCTCATAACTTAGTTGTCTCTTTGAACAAAGATCTTGGGATCTCCAGTCAACATGGTAGGGTTGCCATCATAAGGACTCTTACTCAATAAGCTTAATCCCATTCCCTCGATATGTAGTATACTTGATCTCTTGGTAAACATATATAAATGAATCCACAAGTTTACACCAATAAGATCAACTGGTTATGGTATTATGTCTACGACTTACACGTCTAGACTTACCATTATTTGTGACTTAGTATTTTTTCAAATTTAGCTAGCTAACAATCAATTCATTTGATAGATACACATTGTCACCAACTAAGAAATCCTCTTACGAAGCTATGTACTTCTCATTATCTTTATCTAAAGCTTTATCAATTCCAAACAAGATTGAAGAATTTCTATCAAATTATTACACTAGTCAATTATATTTACTAGTGGATTTCATACATGGGTATTCAATATCATCATTAAAACATAGCAACACATTCGAACATTATGGATATTCTCCAATATTCCAATTGTTCTTGTATATCCAAACAACCGTCATTATCGGCTTTCATCCCATTTCATCCATTTTGGGGCTTTCATCCCATTTCATCCACTTCAGACTTAGTGTATATCATCGCATCACAATATCCTTCCAATACCGCAGAATATCTTGTGAAATGTAATCCATAAATCATGGTGTATTTCAAATACCTAATGCCCCTCTCAATGCCACCAAATAATCACGGCCTGGATTACTCATGAATCTACTAAGTTTATTCACAACAAAATCATTATTCGATCGAATACAGTTCTTAATATACATTATAATGCCAATTACTTATGAATATCTCAATTGTGACACACTTTCACCCTTATTTTGACCAAGTGTAGACTTGTGTGAATAGGGTTTTTACTGAACTTTCATCTAATACTTTAATTTTTTAAAATATTTTCTCAACATGGTGCGACTAGGAAAGTACAGTTCATTTCGATATTCTAGAGATTTTTATCTCTAGTATTACATCTGCCACACCCATGTCTTTCATGTCGTAATGCTCCATAAGCATTTTCCTGGCGTTTAGCACCATTTCGTGACTATTGCCCATCACCAACATATTGTCTACATATAAACATACAATCACATAAGCATCTGGTGTATTTTTCAAGTATATACACTTGTCAAATTCATTTATTTGAACTCGTTTGACAACATCGTTTTGTCAAACTTTTGGTGCAATTACTTAGGAACTTGTTTCAATCCATATAAGGACTCAACAAGATTACAAACTTTATGACTTTCACTTGGAGACGCCTTCAGGTTGCTCTATGTATATCTCTTTTTCTAACTCATTTAGGAATCCCGATTTCACATCTATTTGGTGAATCTCAAGGTTATGTATTGCCGTAGTTGCAATTAGTAACTTTATCGAAGTGATTCTAGTCATGGGTGAGTGGGTAAAGAAGTCAAATCCTTCTTCCTGCTTATATCCTTTGACAACCAATATAGCCTTATATTTGTCAATTGATCCATCATGTTTATTCCCATGTATGAATGAATTAAAGCATATTCTCAAAATCCCTATATCTACAGCTGTAGCAATAGGGGCACATTATAGAATCTATCTCACTATTGATGACTTCATTCCAATGCGGTGCTTTCAGAATAAACATTGACTCTTCAAAAGTCATTTTCTACCCTATATGTTAGAAAATTCGAGCCAAACGAAGTGGACGTTCTAGTCCTCTTACTACGCCTTGGTTCCTCCTCGTTTGAAGACTCATTTGTAGTTTCATATGTTCCGTTATTCAACTTACATTTTCCTTGTCTTTGCAAAGAAACACATTCTCAAAGAATATCACATTCCTCAACTCAATTATGATACCCTTGTGTATATTCAATTTGTGTACGAGGAAACGATATGAATTACTATTATTGGCGTATTCAATAAATATGTAATCAATCGTTTTGGGACCGTTCTTTATTTGTTTAGGCTTAGAAATCTCAACCTTTGCTAAACACCCCTACACTTTTAAGTGTTGGTAGAAAGGAAGATGACAT